AATTTTTAAATTTTAAATTTGTTAAGTTTTGTCAAAATTCGAACATTAAATGTGTATAAAAAAAAATTGTCTTTTGTAATTTTTAATATTTTTCAACGGCTATTGAAACAATATATCAATAGCCTTGTATTAAGTTTTCACGCTTTTTGACGTAAAAAATAATCAAGAGCCTTCACATTAAAACATTTACGCACAAGAACTAAAAAGGTGCTATTAAAGGTAAATCCCAAAAGTGATAAATTTTGAGTGGAATTTAGTGTAAAAACTTTTTTTTTTATCGAATTTACAGATTTCTTAATTCTGATGAGAATATTCATGACACCTTAAATAAAATAAAGCAATGGTACCTATTTATTATTAGACTATAGCTCGGATTTCAATGCGTTTCCAGTTAATACTTTTTAACTGCTGTTATAACAGATTATGAGGAACCTTGTATTAAGTTTTTAAAATGTTTGACCAGACGAACCATATTTTATTGACATTTATATAAAAAGGCTAAAAAAAAAAATTGAATTAAAAATTTTAAATGTTCTTAAATAGATCCAAACCAACTTTTAATATTCGTGTTAATAGTGTATGGAAAATTATAAACACATATTTGGTACCACGAGTTATCCATACATCACATTAACCAAATCAACAATTAAGTAGGTACAATTAGCTACTTATTATCTTTAAATTAAACAGTTATAATTATTATCCATAGATAATAATTATTATCTTTGTGATGATTAGTTTTTCTACTTGGCTATAAGAGTAAATTGAAGCGTCGATCATTATTATTTTGTTGACAATGAGAGTAATTATATATATTAAAAAATGTTATGGAAGAGCAGACACCCCTTCACCACCCCCTTGGTTTAAAAAAATTAGTAAGATGAAAAAAAATTTATAAAATTTATTGTTCCGGGTAGAATATTATAGGTAGGTACCTAATATATTTTCAATAATTGTAAAGAACATTTTTTAGTTTTTAAAAGTTTACAATTGGTTTTAGATAAAAATAAATAATTATCATTATAATATTCAAGGATACTTCTATTTTTTTTCAAACTTTTTAAATAACAACGAGGGGGTTTTCCAGTAGTTTTCAAAAGCGCCGTGAAAAAAAAAAGAAAAATTAAGAAAAAACGGATATATTTACACAAAATCTGTTTTCGAAAAAACAGTTTTTGGTTTTTGGTGCAACTCTAAAACAAATTAAAGTATACCATGAAATTTTGACTGAATTATATTATATTATATATAATTATATTAGCATTTTCTATACACCATACAATTTTGAAAATATTTTGAGCTGTTTACGGACATAACCTTTCAATTTTTTTAGTTTTTTTACTATAAATATCAATAAATTTCTTCGTTAAAAAAGCTTTAAAATATAATAGAAGTCTCCTATAGTATATTGTTTCAAAGGCAGATGAAAAAATAAAAATCCATAGTCATAATTTTTTTATAAGCACCTATTTATAGTTCAAATATGGACAAAATACGTAAAAATGACTAAAATTTCCAAATTATTTTGAGTTAGAAATTCATAAAAATTTTTTTTTAAATCTAAGATTTTAAAATGTAATACAAAATTCCTCATAAGTTTGTCTACCTTTATGAAAAAAAAAAATTTCTAGGAAGTCAAATTAAATCTTTATGAGCGTTTGAAATTTATATTTTTACAACATTGGATATTCACTCGATTCCTCATGTAACGATTTTCTTATTTTGTTGTAATTTAAAAACGAATGACTGTAGACACTTGAAAATTTCACTGAATGTTTATATTAGCATTTCCTATACACCATACACTTTTAAAAATATTTTGACACTTTTTGAGCTGTTTACGGACATTTTCAGTTTTCAATTTTTTTAGTTTTTTTTTTCTATTAATATCAATAAAGTTTTATCTGTTTGGCCAAAAATTATAAAAATGTAATACAAGGCTCCTGATATATTGTTACAAAATCAGTTGAAAAATATTAAAAATACATTGACACAATTTTTTTTTATAGTCATTTTAAGTTAAAATTTGGACGAAATTACATAATAAAAAACCTAGAATGACTATTTCAGTTATTTTGTTGTGATTGTTTAATATTATTCGTAGGTACTTGAAACTTCTAAAGTTCACTAATATATATCTATAGAGTATGGACTATGATAGTATCAGAGTTTGTTGATATTGTGATATGATTAATTTGGAATTTATTATAGGTACCTATTTTAGGTCACTTCACTAACTTGAAATGGGTTTTTTAGTTTTAATCAATTTTATGAAAATTCTGTATACGCCAATGGTATGACAAATCATTTATTGCTATAAAAATAATTACAATTTAATTTCTAAACACATTACTTACAAAAACACAACATTATATAATAATATTGCACATTCATGGCACAGTATAATCTACAATATTGACTTAAAATATATAACAATATTTAATAAGGTTATAAAATTATAAAAAAATTTTACGTTGATGATATTATTGTGAATAAAGTAATTTATATATTATAATAAATTCCATAGACCCTTGTTATAAATTCTCAATACTTGGATATAAAAATTGAACATTTTATACATTTTTAACGACAAAATAATTATTAAATTTAAAATTTGATAAATGTTGTCAATATTCGAACTTTAATTGATTATAAAAAAAAATTTTATTTTTTTATTTTTCAACTACTATTGTAACAATATATCAGGAGTCTTGTTTTGAATTTTCATTCATTTTTACCGAACAATTAAAATTGTATTGACAATTATAGGAAAAAAAACTAAAAAAGATCGAAAACTTATAATTTCGGTAAACCGCTCAATAAGAGCCAAAATATTTTCAAAATCTTATGGTGTATAGAGAATGAAAACATAAACTTTTGTCAAGATATGAACTTGAAGTTGGAAACTGAAAATTTCCCTTAACAGTTCAAAATTAAATCCAAATATTTTGAAAATCTTATCTTATTTAATACAAACTACGAACATAAACATCCAGTGAAATGTCCATATATCTACTTTCAGAGTTACGAAATTGAAATATAACAAAAAAGCTTGAGATACCCTAGGTAATAATATTTCCTTTAAATTCTATAAGATTTAAATTCACTCTAATTTTTACTAACTTAGCTAAACGTGATCTGCTGAGCGTAAAATGTGCTATTTTAGGCACTTATTGTAAGACGGAGAAAACAAATATCTGTGTAACATCTTCCTAACTCTTAAATACTGCAACTTTTTACCATCGATTAAAAAAATATATCATCATTTACATGACTATTATTATTAACATTTACGTCCATACCTTCTACAACATGTACAACATTGAAAGATATATTACTACCTAGACTTTGCCAAGTTAAAATATGGTTAAGATCTACAATGACGGAGCAGAGACTATCTGGATTATGTATACTTAGTATACTTTGACAGAACATTCAAGATTAAAATTATAGATAATATTATAATAAATATTTTTATAAAATATAAAAATCTAGGTATTGTTCTAAAATAAAAATACAATGCACAAATAAGGTGTAAACATAGAACAATTTATTTAAACAGTAAGTACATAATATTCAAAAATTAAATTACCCCACATGAAAAGTCCTAAAGAGAGAGTGATAGAAAGCGTGATAGCGTGCTTGTGGTCATGGCATAGAGCAGAGGTTCTTAACCTTTTGTAGATCGCGGACCCCTGATGAAAGATTTTTAGAAATCGCGGACCAACTTACCATTTTTTTTACAAAACATCTCATGTTATCATAACCAAAATTATAATAATTATTTTATATTAAAAATTACGTTAGTAGACGACAAAACATACACCTTTCCAATTATTTGTATTAAAATTAATTTTTTATAAAAACGTAATATAAAACTATAATTGAGTATAATTTGATACTATTAATAATTAATAATAATTTGATATAATTTGATACTACGATGGATCAACTGCAATTATAGTGGTAGTAAATATAAGACTGCCGAGATTACAGTGCTGTACGCATGTACATTTCGTATGAACAAGAAAAACTGATTACCTACTTAATAAATACTAATAATACAATTATTTGGTGTAGAATCTACATATTATATTTGAAAAAAAAAATAATAATCCAATAATATTGTAATAATGCACTCTGTCACTTATTGATGTACCTATGTTATGTGTTGAGGCTGCCTCGGACCCCTGACATGAGTATCGCGGACCCCCGAGGGGCCCCGGACCACAGGTTAAGATTTAAGAACCGCTGTCATAGAGTATAGAATATATTTACGGAGAGTGAGAGAGAGAGTGAAAGTGAGTGGGTGAGAGAGAGATAGTTTGAGAGAGGGAGAGAGCATGCGTGTCCTTGTTGCTAGCATGCGCCGGCGTTCCTCCTCCCACACACTATTTATATATTACTACACCCTATTTACCACACGCAGCTGCACCGAATATATCTATCTAAATTGTTGTTGTGCACTTCCGTAACGATTTTGTTTGCGTTCGCTCCTAGTCATAGCGAGGCCTGCATTGCTTTAAAAAAATAATCCAACGATTTTTGACAATTTTAGGAAGGTTTAGATACCTAATTATAATATTATAGGTATCACTTATTTTATGACTTAAGGTTGGCGTAACATCTACCTATTAAAACCATCACCACCTATTTGTTTATTTCTGCCAGCAATTTATTACCCATAAGAAAAAAATAGTTACTTATTAATTTATTACTACCTATTCACAGATTTAAAATGACAATTTTCGAGTTCACTGTTTCATTCATTATACTCTGATACCCTGATGTCTGATGATTGATGATAAACCGTTTTTTGTTGTAAGGAGAAGATTAACACGTAAATTATTAGAGGGTGCTAATACCCCATAAGTCCCCCTATTTGCGCGTATGTGTACGATAGGTGTCTAGAGGAGTCAATGTAACGGATGAGTTGAATTCGAATTCAATGATATAAAACCATTGTTTACCAAAAACGATTCTGAGCGAAGATGGTTAGCCTATGATAATTCAAACAGGGAAGGTTGATTACATATTGCAGCCTTTGATGTTTTAGAATTATTTAAATCAGCAGAATCCCGCAGTCCTTCATTAAAACCAATATCACTTCTTTTCAAGCTAAGCAATTTTTTCACAGAGTGGATATTATAGTGTTTATTCTGCAATACAAATTATTTTGACAAAATATTGGTTAAGTTTTTTAAAAATATTTATTGTATACTTTTTGACTAGTATAAATGATGAATATTCAAGACTAAAGTACTCACCTTTAGATGATTTCGTAAATTGGTTTTGGATCTAGTATCGGCGGTTCTTGATTTAGTAGTTACACAATGTTTGCATTTCACCTCATATGTTTGATATGTTAGTTGATCTTTTAACAATTTAATTATTTTGAAGTGATCATTATATTCAATCCATGGAAGTGTTGATTCAATTGTCGATTCATTTTCACTTAAGGCCATTTTAGTTGTACAAAATACAAATAAACAAATAAACGAAACGGTGAATAACCAAAGTGAAAAAATTCTGTGTAGTGTGTAGTGTGTGAGAAAACTGAAACCATAATTGTTATGAATGTTATCATAAACGGAACATTCTAAAAATAAAATTTTTCCCCGTCTTCTGATAATTAATAGAATATTATCTACACTGCCAATAACAAATTACTAGGTATCACTATTTATCTGGTTTTTCGTGCTAATACAGTAATACCATATACGATATACCTTAATATTATGTCCTTATAACTTATAAGTTATAATAGTCAGCTGAGTATGTATGCAATTCCGGCGTATAAAGTATACACGTGACAACGCTGGTAGGTAGTACACCGCAGTACCGCACATCAACTCAGCTAGTATAATGTCTATGGCTAATACTATGTTTTATGTTTTTAATGCCCACTACGGCAATACCCAGGATTACAATTTATAAACACAAACATTTTTTTTTTTTCAAATTTAGTATTTAAATATATAATAAAAATACTAAAAAAGATATTCAGAATACGTATTCGAATATATTTTTTTTAATCTATTTAGAATAGTATTCAAATACAAAAAAAGTATTCAAATACTTTTATTCGAATACCTTTATTCGAATACTTTACAAGACTGAGCCTATCATATTACAAAGTATATTTTATGCTATTATTGTGATAAAATAAATTACTATTACACAATAAGTTGTAGGTGACTTATTTACAAATTTGAATTTCAATATTACTTTAATGTCCAAATATTAATTGTTTTGATTGTATACCTATATAATAGGTACATTTTACAATTACTTTTTTGTTGTATATTTTGAAATTTTATATCAAATATTTAATGTTTTTTTGTTAATATGATTTATTTTTATAATTAATAAATATATTATATCCAAGATGGATTGAATAAAGTTGTATTAAAAATATTTATGACTTTTGTACTCAATGTTGCATATTTGCAACAAACTGAAAACTCGTTTTCTACAAAGAAGCTTTTAGTCCAATATTTTAGTTTCTGAGTGGAACTATGAATGTATTGATTTTACAACGATGTGTGTTTTTTTTTTTTAATTTTAAATTTTTAAATATTTGTGTCTGTTATCACGGTTTGGGGCAGTAAAACTGATTCGATTTTCTTCAACAGTATCTTGTTCGATGGGAAAGTGAATCTAGTTGGTGCATTCGGGAGGTCAAATTCCCAACAGTTTTCATAAGCGTCGGGAAAACAACATAACAATTAAGGAAAAACGGGAATTTATAGGCAAAATCGATTCTCCACAGAATCGATTTTAGTTTTTGGTGTAACTCTAAAACAAATGAACGTATATACATGACATTTTCACCGGTTGTTTATATTTGCATTTTCTATACACGATAAAATTTTCAAAATATTTAGATTTGTTTTGAACTGTTTAGGAACATTTTCATTTTCCAATTTTATTAGTTTTTCTTTTCTATGAATGTCAATAAAACGTTATTTGTTTTGTTAAAATACTTGAAAATTTATACAAGGCTCCAACTATATTGGTACAATGACATTTGAAAATTATTAAAAATCCATAGTCACATTTTTTTTTTTTATAAGCATTTAAATTTCAAAACTTGACAAAATTCGGAAAAATCACGAAAATTAGCAAATTATTTTGAATTGAGACTAAATAAAAAATTTTCTTTTTAAATCAAAGATTTTAAAATGTAATACAAGATGATTCATAAGTTTGTCTACTTATATAAAAAAAAAAAATGTCAACAAGCAAATCAAATTAAATTTTTATGAGCGCGTGAAGTTCATATTTCTATACAATATTGGATATTCACTTGATCTCTCATGTAGAGGTTCTGTTATTTTATTATTATTCAAAAACGAATAACTGTAGAAACATGAACATTTTAATGAATTTTTATATTTTAATTTTCTATACACCATACAAATATACAATTTCTAAAATATTTTGAGTCTTTTTGAGCTGTTTACGGACATTGTCAGTTTTAAATTTTTTTCGTTTTTTTTTTTTTCTATAAATATCAATAAAATTTTATTAAAAAGCTTGAAAATGTACTTACAAGGCTCCTGATATATTGTTATAATAGCAGTTGAAAAATATTAAAAATACATGGGCACAATTTTGTTTTATAAGCATTTAAAGTTCTAATTTTGACAAAATGTATCTAATTTAAAATTTAATATTTATTTTGTAGTTAAAATTGTATAGCTATAAGGATTTAAAATTTAAAACAAGGTTCCACATAAATAGGTTTAAATATAAATTAATTTATTTGCAATAATATCATCAGATATACTTCTTAGTAATATGATAGTCTGACCGACCGTTTTTGCTCAGAATCGTTTTTTTTTATACAATGATATTATATCCTTGAATTCAAATTTAACGAAATCCATTACAGTGACCCATTTTAACCTTCTGTGCAGCAGAGCGACACAAACTTGCCCACCTTTTTTTTTAAATTTATTTTTCTTAAACTCCACAATGATAAAATAAGTTAAAATAATTTTAATTGATAAAAAAAATAGGTATATCACGCATTGAAGGGTTAAGTTAATATTATTCCCAAAAAATTGCATTTGAAAATGTCATTGAGTGTATACAATACAATTAATATTATATTTTGCTATGGATTATCCAAATAATATATCCATATTGTGACATTGTCCGTGCATAAATAATTGCAACAAACACTTCAGGACTAAACACTTTCTAAACTTAAAATTTAAAAATAAAACTTATAATAAAATTAAAAGTTATTTTACTATTAGGAAAATAGTTTGAAAAATATTAATACCCCGACCATAATAAAGTTATCCTCCTATGTGTCTTACTCAGGACAGACGCAGGTTAGCCGTACGATCGTAAAAAGGTTAGCACATTCATTAAAACCGACGAAATCTTACACATAACTGCATACGGAATTAATATTCTTATTACCACTAGGTATACTATATTAAAATAAAATCAGTGGTTCTTTTGTTCTTAATGATTTTAAAAGTTTCAAGTACCCACGAATAATATATTTAAATTACAACAGAATAACTAAATCGTTATTCTTCGTTTAAATACCTATTTTAACTTAAAATGGCTATAAAAAAAATGGTGTTTATATATTTAATAAATTTTTATTAAATTAATTAGTTAATTGAAACATTTGAAGTTTTATAATTAAACTCAAATTTTTTAATTAAATTAAAAAAACCTTTTAAATTTTCAATTCTTGGACATACAAGTTAAACATTTTATAAATTATTAACTACAAAGTAGCTTGCACATTTTCGAGATTATGATGACTTCTGTACAAATTTTAACTATAGGTTACAGATCGTAAAGAACTACCCTACATAATTTTGTTCATAATAAAGTGAAAGTAATATGTTTATTGAAGAGTTATTATTTTATTTTGTTCTAATATAAAAATGCAAAACACTTTACTCAGGATTTTTTTTTTTGCGGAGAGGGGGTATTAAAATGTATTGGAAAGTGTGCCTATTATATTTCTACCATTTTAGATCATAAAACCATCCATACGGTTTTGCCCCAAGACAAATACGGTTTTACCCCAACTATGGGGCAAAATCGTATTTTTAGGTACTTTCAAAATTTTGTTTTTTTTTTTTTTAGTCCAAGTTGAGATTTTTTGAAAAAGTTTCGATATTATTGAAGCTGATTATATTTGTAATAAAATTACTCAATCCAATTTCAAATTTTTCAAATTTTGTAAGTTCTACAATGACTAGAAGTTAATAGTATGGTTCTGCCCCCGCCTTCCCCTACATGATTATAAAAAAAATCATTACTTTAATGTATCTTTGATATGTAATATCTGCTATTATAACAATTTATGAGGAACATTGTATTATACTCAGTATAGCGTACGCAGGATTTTAGTTCAGTTAGGGCTTTATCTGAGTAAATTATTTACATTATTTTTTTCTAAGCAGCTTTTATATAACAAATTATAGTTAAGGAGGCTTTCCACTACATACGTTCGCGTGTACGTGCATAAAAATACTAGTCTGTGATTGGTTGGTATACATGGTAAGCTTATGGTATACCACAATGTTTATGCGTTCTTACCACACGATTAACCATGATACCGCGTTGTTGGATCCAGTTCAACAATTTCGTGTACACGGCAGTTTGGTATTGATAACAAATGAAAATTCAAACCATATCAAATTTAAATATAAATTTATTTAATTATTTTCTTTTCGGAAATGGTCATCAAGTTTTGTTATAAAGTCTACTGTCTAGCTTTTCTAAATAGTAAATAAGTATTTTTGAGATAATTACTTTCAATTTTTTATTTAGAAACATGAATCCATCTAAAATACTAGTGAGTATCAATATTGTTACCTTTTTTTAAACCTTTGCTCTATTATATATATATTATGGCTAAATATATTTAGCCTTGATATATAGAATACTAGCTGATCCCGTGCACTTTGTTGCCCGTTAAATATACCAACTCTATATAACTCAAACTCTGTTCAATTTGTAATTTAATATTTGGTGTATGGTGTTCAAAATGTATCTTAACTTTTCTGTTGCCTGGAATAAAAATTCTGATTCGCAGCAGTATATTATCAGGTAGGCGGTAGATTAAATATAGAGATTGAATACTATAGCACGAATGGTGTGACACAATTAATTAAGCAATTAATATCGCAAACATACTGAGCAATTGCGAAGAGCGCAGTGAAGACAGTATTAATTTAATCAATCTATACAAGTATTGTCGCCACTCATAGTCTAGTCTATCAGTATTCAAAGCCAGGTCGTAACACTGCTCATTACTTTTTTAGATTACTATTGTATTTTTGTATTAAAGTATACTAAGTATATTCAATATAACATAATATTTAATTTAACTTTTAAATGAATATAGTCTTCCCAATATATTTCTTCAAATGACGCTTGCAGACATTGGGTTTTATTTCTTCTGTACAAATATAAAACTAAT